TTGAATAAATAATATAATTAAATATAAGCTATACAATAATTTATAACCTTTATTAGGGCCGCTCTATCTATACTTCTTCATTATAATAGATTTTATATTAAGATTACTATCATTAAAGGTCAGAAACTTTAATATATACTTCGTAATAATTTACAAATATAATAAGGAAATTATTATTATCCCTAGAAAATTAACATAAATAATATAATAATAGGGAAAAGCTTTAATAATAGCCTTATTATCCCAAAATTATGGGATACTATATTAAATCCTAATAAATAAGGATCCTAAATTCGTTTTAACGATATAAACAATTATTTAAAAATACTTAGGCACAAAATTACTATATTTAATAGTATATAAACCTTTTACCAAGAAATAATCAAAACGCTTAATTTAAATTATCGAATTTACCTTACATTATTATGTCCAAAATTTCAACAACCCCTAACGTTAGCCAAAAATTATACTAAAATTCTAATTCGAATATAATAATACGAAAATAAAAATAGCAAAAACCTCATTAAATAAAATTATTAAAAGCTTTTAACCAATTAGAATCGTAAATATTATCGCCGATAGAACTTAGAAATTATAATTTATCCAGAAAGTAAATTTACTAACGACGAAAATTAAAATATAAAATTCGTTAGCAGTCGTCATAATAATAATAAAATACCAAGTCAATTAAAGATACGTATTAAAAATATTCAATATAAATAATCAAATTTACCTACGCTTCTATAAAACCTATTTAATTTTATAAACGTTAATTCTAAATATAAAATTAGGACTTTATTACATAAAGCTATTTAGGGTAACGGAAAGGGTTAGACGGTCTACCTATAGATTTAACTTTCCAAATTATTAGAAAATTCACCAGGTAATTAATCTAAATTACTTAGAATTTAGAAAATTTAATCTATACAATAAATAATTACCAATATTAATACTTATTAAAGGAATTAATATACCAGCGTTGATTACAACGGAGAAAATAGAGAAATTAAACATTATTAAATACTGAGTTAGATATAACGGGGCAAGGAGAGAATTTAATTACTAAATTATATTAAAGGAAGTAAAACCGGAAATTTTAAAAATATAATTACAAAAGAAAATATAGAAATAAAAAGATAATTATATCTTAAACTATATATTTACTTTAAATGGTTCGCGAAGACGCATTATATTTGACGGGAGGCAGATTATTAGGGTATTACCAGGCATATACCTACTAAATAAGCCAAACTAGGCTAGGCTTAGCACAAACCAGACTCCAGGGAAGGAAGTACCCAATAGATAAGGCACTGGGAGGGTACATATACTTCGAGTCGGCCACAGGCCTGACCCAGACTTAGCCTACTTCATCATCAATCTATATACACATTGCATTGCAGACTCCATCACCCTTACACACGGAGAACCACGCTTTTATCAGATACTGTCTTGGTACAGAAATGCCCATCTTTCTCTCCCACTAGAGGTAACAATCTTTGTATTTGCTGTACCACCGCCACGACACCGTTACGTTATCAGCCGTATCTTTCATCTCAACCCAGAATGGGCAAAACATCCGCCAGATACGCGTCGATGCTCACCATGTCAACAATCACCCTCAGCATTGACTCGTCGCGTAACTCCCTCTTATTTTCAGCAGAAAATCATGGCATCCTCGAGGAAGAGGCTTACTGAGGTCGGAAGGAGGATAAAAACCAATAGTGGGCGATAGGTGCCCCTGGTCGGCGGGGCTCGCCTACCACATTCCGGGAAGGTGATAAAGATTGTCGAGACACCCGCGCAGCCACCAGCCAGGCTTGGCCGATACCCGAAGGTGGTGAGCCAATCCAGCGCTGCTTGGGGGGTTGTATTGGTGTTCCCGGCCCCAGGGATTCTCACGCTGCAGCGCAACAAGGCACAGGCCGCACAAGGAGAACAACGCCCGCTGAGAGCCAATAGGTTCGCCCACCTGCCCGTCCACTACCAAGCGCAGATAAGCTAACGCATGTACCCAGACCGTGGCCACCGATCGACATGAGATTGCTGTTGACGGAACGCTCCTCCTGCTGGTGCTGCAAGGAACGACGTTAATATAAAAACCGGGCGTGGACGTCGGTCCAACGCGGTACCGAGTCCGTCCGTGTCTGGTTCCTTCTCCTCACCCTCGTGGACGACATCTGGACCTCCGCCCGACTCAGAACCGTCACAACACCGAGTCACTTCACGATGGCGTCTCTCGGCAAGCTCCTCTCGGCGGCCGGCCTGCTGCTCTTGGGCGGCCATGGCATGTTGGCTTCGGCCGAGGACCATCTGATCAGCGAGCGCAAGCTCTCCAAGCGCTTCATTGACGAGAACGGCAACTACAACATCTCATACTACCATATCAACGATGTCCATGCCCATCTCGATCAGTTCACCTCCTCCGGCACCGACTGCACCAACCCGGCCAAGGGCTGCTATGGCGGTTATGCCCGTGTCAAAACCGTCATCGATGAGACCCGCCCTTCGCACAAGGATTCGCTCCTCCTCAACTGCGGTGATGAGTTTCAGGGCACCATGTTCTTCTCCTACTACGGCGGCGAGAAGATCGCCGAGACCCTCAACCAGCTTGGCTTCGACGGCATGACGCTGGGCAACCACGAGTGGGACAAGGGTGACGAAGTGCTCGGCCAGTTCCTCGAGAACCTGACGTTCCCCATCATCTCGGCCAACGTCTTCTCCGACAACGCGCGCCTCAACCGCACCATCAAGCCCTACCACATCTACGAGGAGTACGACCTCGCCGTGATCGGCGTCACCACCGAGACCGTGCCCTCCATCTCCTCGCCCGGCCCGGGCACCATCTTCACCGATGCCGTCCAGGCCGTCCAGGACACCATCGACCACATCCACTCCACCACCTCCATCAAGCGCATCGCCGCCATCACACACATCGGGTACGACGAGGACCAGCGTCTCGCCAAAGAAACCTCGGGTCTCTACCTCATCATGGGCGGCCACTCCCACACCCCTCTCGGCAATTTCCCCGGCGCCGAGGGTCCTTACCCCACCATCGTAAAGAACAAGGACGGCGACGAGGTCTTCATCGTCACCGCCTACCGCTGGGGCGAGTACCTAGGCTACATCGACGTCACCTACGACGCCGACGGCAAGATCCTCGAGTACCACGGCGGTCCGATCCACCTCACCAACACCACCAAGCAAGACGAGGGTCTCCAGAAGCAAATCGACGCGTGGCGCGTGCCCTTTGATGAGTTCTCCAAGGAGGTAGTCGGCACCAGCAACGTCGTTCTTGAGCAGTCCACCTGCCAGAGCAAGGAGTGCACCTTCGGCAACTTCATCTGCGACGCCATGCTTGACTACCGCCTCAACTCTTCCACCGATGGTGTTGCCCCTTCGTTCGCCCTCACCAACGCTGGCGGTATTCGTGCCTCGATTGACGTCGGCCCGATCACCCGCGGTGAGGTCCTCACTGCTTTCCCCTTCGGCAACGCCGTCGTGGAGATTACCCTCTCCGGCCAGCAGCTGTGGGACGTCCTCGCCGGCATTGTCGCCCGCGTCAACAAGGCGAACGGCAAAGCCGTCACTTCTTTCCTTCAGGTCTCCCGCGGCATCAAGATCGAGTACCAACCTACCAACTCGCCCGACAACGGCGTCGGCACGCTTGCTGCTGTCACCATCGGCGGCGAGAAGCTGAATCTGACCAAGCAGTACAAGGTCGTCACCATTGACTTCGTTGCTGGCGGAGGCGACAACTTCTTCGCTGAAACGTTTGGCAACCTCGTGGTGCTGGATACCCTGGATGAGGTTCTGGTGAACTACATCAAGGAGAAGACGCCGGTGGATGTGCAGTTGGAGGGGCGCATTGCTGCTTATAGCAAGTGCGGTGGACGCAAGAAGTCCAAGAAGTTGAGGAGGGAGAGGGAGTAAGGGTGTGGTGTATGCTTCTGTATTGTACCTGGAATGATTGTTGATTAGACGATGTAATGTGTTGATGTCTTGTGTCCCATGGAGCTATATCTCTGCAAAGGGAAGTGACGAAGTGATGCCTTCGGCGGCCCCATCCGGGGCGGGACCTCGCTTTGCTCGATTTGCAGTAGGTGAGATTCTGATCGCCCACCTGGCCTTCGTACCTGACAACGTCTGCGGACACCAACGACGTCACACTAGGCCCCCTTCCCGCTTCTTGGGACGGACGGTTGGACCCCGGCTCCCGTCTTGACGACTCGTGTTGGTTGACTTCCCGGACTTCTTCATATCGGTACCTAGGTGAACTGTCTTCCGCATTTTGTCTCCCTTGCCTCGAGGCTTGCATTCTGACACGGCAGCTTCTACCAGAGATCCAAGTGATATGGTCCCGAGACCAGGGAAATCGTGTGTTCCTGCGGCTCGGCCTCGTCATGGCAATATCACTGGAACGTACCAGCCGAAAATACTATCAAAATACAATGGTAGCCAAGCCAACAAGTGGCGCTTTGTTAGCCATCAAAGGATCTTCCCGCTCTTCCCGCTCCAACAAACAAGTCGACGTGCTCTCCGTTATCCAGGCCCTGGTTTGGGCTCTTTGTTATTTGGTATAGCTTCAAGGGAGAGTAGACAGCCAAGTGGTCGTGCATCGTGTCCGAGTTAGAATTGTACCTAGTCTGTTGAAGGAGGTCTAAACATGTGTATAAATCCTTGACCTTAGTCTAAACTCCAGATGTTGCACACCTCTCTATCATCTTCCTCATAATCATCGCCTTCGTTCAACGACCGTAACCGAGCTGTGCTCGCTATTACATCACTTTCGTTTCCCTTTCAAGGACGCAACACTCTCTATCCCCAGTTCCAACCACCATATTCACTCACCATAAGCACCACAACCCACCAAAATGATCCCCACCACCCTCCTCTCCCTCCTCGCTCTGGCAGCCACCACCACCACTGCCCTCCCCGCCGAACTTTCCCCTAACCCTCCCACCAACGCCACCCTCACCACCCGTGACGACGACCACTGGGAATGCATGAACTACGGCCCCGCCGTCGACCAATCCTCCAACCTCTCGCCCAAGTGGGGAGACTGTCTCCAACTGCGCGCCAACATCGACTCCGGCGGGTCGTGGCAGTTTTTCTCAGGCCGCCAGACGGTCATCGCCTCTTACGAGTCGTGCGCCATCGGCGTCGAAACTTCCAAGGGCACGTTGGCGGGGACCTTGACCAAGATAGGAAATATCGATTTGATCAAGATTGTCGAGTACACCGAGGCCATGCTTATCAACAAGGGCGGGGATCAGGTGGCGACGGACAGGAATGGGAAGAAGTATGTGAAGTGGGATGCGAAGGTGGGGAGTAAAGGGACGATGGAGTGTTATCAGTTGGTGTTGAGGAATAATAAGTTTGGGGTGGATTGGGGGTTGTATCATACGTGACGTCCTACGAGTATGTATTGTGAGTGGGAGTTTTGCTGAGGGGCGTGGCCTCAGTTTCAGTGAAGTGTTTGTGGACGTGAAAGAGGAGGACTCAAAACGGCAAGGAGCAAAACCCCAGCTGACACGAAGGGATGTCATGCTAAAGAACACATCACATGCTACATGTCCACGACGATTGAGGGCGTGGAATGTGTTACCCACCACGAGATGAAAAGCCTGCCCTGGCTTCGATGCATTCGTTGGCTTCGCGGATTACCGTCACCCGCGAGCCATCAACACCACCAAAACACCATCACCAAACACATCACCACCAACCACAGCGGCGTAACTCCGCCACGAGCAACTCAACCTTCACCTCCCTACCATCCTTCCTGTTACCCTGAACTCGGATCTTTTTCCTCCAACTTCAATTCTTTACTTTCTTGCCAGCCACCATATGGCCAACAGCTCAACATCAAGCTCACCGGCGACCGCCCTGGGCAGTTTCTTGGTCTCCTTTTCTCTTCCCTAACTCGTGTATACCTGAACCTTTCGTACTAGGTAGTTTCACCATCATACCCCTGAACGGCGGTTCTCTTCTTAACCCTTGGATGTCTCCAAGTCCTTCCCGTGAACAATGTGTGCAAATCTCATTTCTATGTGAACCATGTACCAATATATCCCATGCCCCATTTTGAACTTTTGAAGTACCCAACCAACACATAACTTTTCCGTGCTCTTACATCACATCCATGCCCACAGCCCATCAAGCCTTCAACTCCTCTGACAACTTAACCAAATCGTCCCACTCTTTACTCCCCTCCCACGCCTCCTTCGCCTTACGCATCACACTCCTGACCGCAAATCCAGCCTTCCCCTTCCACTTCGCACCAATCTCCTCCACGCCCTCCCCATAATTCTCATACAAACTAACCAAACGATCCGTCCGTTCCACCACCGTCTCCCAAGCCTCCTGATCCTCCAACCAACTCTTCTCGCTCCCTTCTCCCATTCCAGACGAAGGAAGCAGCCCACCACCAGCCGACGCACCGCTGATCGCAGCGCGATACGCCCGCTCCGCGGCGTCAATGGCACCCGCATAATCACGCTTCCAGACGCGCGCGCGGACGAGGAGTTCCCAGAGGTCGTGTCTCTTCGTGATCAGCAGCGCGACTTGTTTCTCCAACAACTCGCAGACGGCGCGTTCCTGGCTGCCGCGGGGCGGGTCGTACACCCCAGACCCGGCGGGGATTTCCTTATTGAGGACGGACTCTTTCAACAACAGGTCGAGCACGTCGATGTCGAGCGCGTCTTCGGAGGACCGGATCTTGATGATGTGGTTCAGAGCCAGGATGATCTCGGAGACGGCGGGCGGGCGGACGCGCGCGGCGAGGGTGATGACGTTATCCCAGATGCGCCAGTTGTCGTTGGCGATGGAGGCGCCGCGCTTGTAAGCCGCTAGGGATTGAGAGAGGAGAGTGGCGGGGGAGCGCTTGCTGGGGTCGGTTTGGGACTGCTCGGGGTTGGCGATGCAGGTGTCGTCTTCGTCGGGGAGGACTTCGGTGGACTTCTTGACGGGTTCGGCGGTGTTGGCGGCGGCTTCGCGCTCGGCCTTGAGTTCTTTGACGCGCTCGACGTAGAGGGAGTAGAGAGACGAGCCGAGGTTGGACCACGTGCGAGCGTCTTCGCCGCCGGCGATAGGGTCGGCGGCTGCGATGCCGCGGCTGAAAGACTCAGCAGCTTCGGCGAAGTCGCCTAGACGGAGGGAGATGTCGCCCAGGCGGTTCCAGAGTTCGGAAGACATGCGGTTGACGACGACGGCCTTGCGGTAGGCGTCGCGGGCTTTGAAGATCTCCTGCTTGGAAAGCCAGTACTCGCCCAGCGACTTCTGCGCTCTGGCGTACCGTTGACCCGAAATGTCCCACGCGCGCTCGTAGTGCTCCGGCTTGTCCTCCATCTCACCCAGGATGCAGAATAGACGAGGTGCGTTGGGGGGAGGGGGCACACGCTCAGGACCCTGGAAGTCGGCTTCCTTGAAGTTGGAGATATCCAATGTCTCGTTCTCAACCTCATCATCTGCCTCGGCATCTTCCTCAGCAGCAGTAACACCCGTGCGATGGAACAACCGCCACCTGACGATGGCCCTGCCCTTCTCCTCACCACCCGCTCCGCGACCGTCTTCGTCGTCATGGCGGGCGTTGGCAGCAAGACACAGAGCAACTTCAGCCCAGAGGCGGAGACGCTTGAAGATCTCGAGGGCCGAAACCAACGAACCTACTCCAGCCCACGAGTAGGCCAACTCAGACTCAAGATGCCACCTAGGAGGAGAGGAAAGAGCGTGGATGTATTGCAAACGGACATGCGCCGGCGCTGAATCCTCGGGCTTAGCAGCGGGGAAGAACGAAGTGGGCTTGCTGGCAGCAGCCGCCTTGTCCTCGATGACCTCGCCATCGGCAGAGATCTTGATGGCCGGGACGTCGGACTTCTTCTCCTCCTCCCCGTTGGCCTCAGATGTGGGAGCAGCAGCAGTGGTGTCAACAATAACCTGGTCCACCACCGCCTGCATTTGCAAGACACCGCGCTCGATCGTCCTGGAACGATGCATCTCGATGCGCGACCTCACCAACAACGCTTGTGTGTAGATCTGCCAGTTGGTGCTCTTGTCGTTGATGACTCTCACCGCGAAGGGGAGGATCTCCTCGGCAGTGAGGGTATCACTTGGGCTGAACGCGTCCTTGAGGGTAGCTTCTGTCAGCAGGATGATCTGATCCAGGGGGGAAAGCTGGGGTTGCGCATCGGGCTCCAGGTCCTTCAGTTCCGCAGGAAGGCCAGTCTTGTCGTCTGTTTCGCCGTGTTTTCCCAGCTCGCCCTTGGTGAACTGAAGATCTTCCAACAAAGTGTCGTCGTTGAGTTCCAAGGCCTTGGGCTTGGCGTCTGTCTCCTCCTCACCCTCCTTCTTCTCCTCCGCACTCTTCGCCAGAACCACAAGCTGACTCGTGGCCTTCTCCTGGAACTTGGTCCTCTTTCCCAGGGCACCGCTCAGCATGTACTGGAACTTGTTGACCTCGGCCGCCTTCTGAATCGCCTCCTTCGCCTTTGCATCTTGTCCCAACATGATATGCACGTTGGCCTTCTCCACCAACCACTTCACTTCCATCTCCTTGTTGTCCTTCCCTGTGACTTCCTCTTCGACAACCTTCAAACCCTGCTCAATCTTCCCTTGCAAGCTCGGCACCTCGCACCACTGCAGACTCTTGTTGAAGATGCTCCCCGATCCTAAGCTCGGCTGGGTAATGAGCTTGTAATGCCAAACGTCGACTCTCAGCTTCAACCACTCCAGCGGCTCGCCTTCCAGACCCTTGACCTCCGCTCCCTCCAATTGCGTGCTGAGAATCCATCGTGCCAGGCAGAACAGTTCGATGGAGGGGATGTACTGATAAACCGACACGCCGTCGACGTCGAGTGAGGAGAAGCACAATTTGCGGGTTTGTTGCAGGGGCTTGCTCTTGGAAGTTTTGCGGGATGCTGCGGTGGTGAACTCCTCCTCGACTTGCGCAAGACCATCGGGAACGGGGCCGGTGACATTTATTTGCAGGAAGGTGTTGAATGCTGAGAGGGCGATGGCGACTTTATCCTGGGCTGGTGTGTCGACAGTTTGCTGTGATTCGGAGTCGTAGAGGGCGTTAACGTATGACTCGATGAGCTTCTTTGCGGGCTCGGTGGTGAGGACGGGGACATAGTGGCCTGAGCGGACCTGCTCGAGCAGGCTTGTCGTCGTGGTGTCGGCCATTGTGGTGAAGGTGAGGGGTATCGAAGTCGAAGAAAAAGGGTATCAAAATTTTTGCCTATCTCATCCCTGAAGCCTGAATTCCGAAGTGAATGAACAACCCAATTGAGAAGCCAAATGAATGGAGTAGAAAGTGGAAAGGGGGGGGGGTTGTTGATTGGAAATCAATCTGATAGAGGGGTCCCCGAATCCTTATCGCAATGTCAAAACATTTTCTTCAGGCACGCCGCCGAGCAACCAGAAAACCGAAAAGTGGGGTGGAGGGGCACTGGCCAGATCCGCCAGACCCCAGTCTTGGCGCTGTGACGCACTTTACATCGCCAAGACTGCTTACATAAGGCTGAACTTGTCTTCCCCGGACTTCCATTTTATTGGCGGCTCCGCTGTTGGTGGGCCCCCGGAAGACGGGACTGCAGAGAGGCTCGACGTCCAAACAATCAACACCAACCGCAAATCATCATCACCACCGGTATGGATCAGAAAGGGAAGCCCAGTAGTAAAAGCCGCGTAGATTCAATATATCTGATCGCTGCTACCTATACCGTTACAGTAGACTACTTAACCTTGACATGCTAGCAAGTAACCCTATAACGCTTGACGCTTGACCATCTTCCCACTCTGCCACTCTGCTATACTATCATCCTTCTTGAAAATCTCCACTCCCAACTCAAGGTTGGCAGAAACCTATTTCTTGCCCTTGCCCTTCTTGGCCTGAACAACTCTGAATCCGGGCACCGCCGCCATGGGATCCTCCTTGACTTGGCTCTGGGTGCTGTTGCCACCCTTCTTGGCCACCTCGGACCAACCACCATTGCTAGAAGACATAGCACCCGTGTTGGAATCCTTCTCGACAATGCCCTTATCGGCGAGCTTGCGACGACGGACAAACTCCTCAGCAAAGTGGCGGCCATCCATGGTGGTGGAAAAGCCGTAGACACACTCGGAGAGAATGGACACGTCGAGGGGGAGCTCGAGGAGAGTAGAGGCAAAGGTTTCGACTGTGGGTAGCATTGTTAGTTATCGTAAACGAGATAAAAGAAAAAAAAGGGGAACATACTGTCATTAACACCGTTCAAGCCCCTAGACAGCTCACGATGCAACCACTTCTTGAACTCCTCCATAGCCACGTTCTTGGCATCCTTGAGCGCGGCGGGCGCAGCCTTGGCCACAACCTTGGCAGCCGGAGCCACGGGGGTATTGGCAGGCGCAGTGCTGACAGGGCGGCTGGTAGCAGCCGGGCCAGTAGGAATCTTGACCTTACCACCCGCGCCAACAGTAGACCAACCGCCACCGACAGAAGCGGCAGCAGCAGCAGCAGCCTGAGCAGCAGCGCCGGGAGTGATCATGCCGGGGGGAGCAGAGGACGAGGAAGTCTTGCTAGCCAAGTCAGCATAACGCTTACCGAGGGCGGAACCAGAGATGACGCTGGCTTGGATGGCAGCCTCCTTGGCCTTCTGCTTGCGAAGCTCCTCCTCGCGTTGAATCTCGGCAAGGGTCTTCTTGGAGCCGGTGGTGGTGGTGGTGGCGACCTTGGCGGCAGGCTGCTTCCAGGGACTACCGGAGGCGGGGGCGGCGACGGGGGAACCAGTACCCCAGGTGCTGGTAGCGGGCAGACCGATGTGGGCGGCAGCAGCAGCCTTCTCGCGCTCACGGAGAGCGGCAGCCTCCTGCTCAAGAGCAGCACGACGAGCGGCAGCGGCGGCCTCTTCCTTCTTGGCAGCCTTCTTGGCCTCGGCCTCCTGAATCTCCTTCAGGCTGGGGCCCTTCTGGGCCTCAGTGCCGGCCCAGGGAGCGGTAGGGGGAGGGGCGAGAACGGAAGCATCAGAGGTGGTGTCGGGAGTGCCAGAACCAGAGCGCTCGCCGTATCTAGCAGGGAGGCCCGAGGCAGGACGCTGAGCAGTGGGGGCAGCAAGAGGGGTGTTAGCCTGGGGAGGAGGAGGGAAGGGCATGGGAAGGCCCGAAGCAGCGGCCTGCTGAGCAAGCTTGGCAGCATTGTTCTCAGCCTGAGTCTTCTTGATCTTCTCGGTCAGGGAAACCTCGGGTTGGGGAGCGACCTCCTTGGCAGCGAGGACCTCCTTAGTCTCCTGAGTCTGCTTCTTGGAAGGCTTGACAGTCTCCTGGGCAGGGGCGGGAGCAGCCTTGGGTTCCTCCTTGGGCTTGGGAGCCTCCTCCTTCACCTCCTGGAGGACTTCCTGGGCGGCGGCAGCGCTGGCCTGGGCGGCGGCCTCCTCAGCATCGTGCTGGGCGCGAAGCTCGTGAAACTCCTTGAGCTTAGCGTTGAAACCCTGCTCGTCGTTACGGAGCTGATCGACGGAAGGGAGGTTGCTGCGAAGAGACGAGTTGTCACCGATAGGGGCACCGATGGGCTGGGCAGGAAAGGAACCAGGGAGACCACCATTGGCCTGCAAGTTAGCCAGCAACTGGCGCTCACCCAAGTTCAGGTCAGGAGCGAAAAGATCGGGACCCAGGCCGGGCTGGGCAGGGGCCTGACCCAGGCTCACGGGAGCCTCGAAGAAGCCGGAGTTGGGGCCAATAGCACCGATGGGGGGCTGCGGCATACCAATGGGGGAAGTAATGCTGCCAAAGCTGGGCTGGCTCTGCAGGCTGTGGGCGCTAGAATGGTGGTGCAGAGCTCCGGGGATACCAGGCTGGAGAGGAAGGCGGCCGAAGCTCTGGTGATGATGCAGGAACTCACGCTGCCTAGCGTGATACAACTGCTCCTCCTGCTTGCGACGCTCCAAGTCATTCTGCTGAGCAGCGGTCAAGGTTCTGCCAAAAGACGGGAAAGCACCCTGAAGGGGAGGGATGGCCTCAGCAGCACCGCCGAGGGCGAAAGGACCGGCAGAAGGCGGGGGTCCGTGAGGGATGCCCATCTGAGGAACCAGGAAGGGCTCACGGGAGTTACCAATACGCCGGATAAGCTGACCAAGAGGCTCAAAGTCAGGGTCCTCGACACGCTTGACACGGAGGTCGGGCGAAAAGAAGTTGGCCTTGTACCAATCATTCATCTCCAAGCCAGAGAAGGGTCCCTGCATCTGTCCCTGAGGATCCAGGTAAACCCAACGCATGCGATCAGGCATGACCATGGTACGCTGCTGCTGCTGCTGATTAGGCTCGCCAGCGGTCGGGGTGGCCGAAAAGGCGGCACCGGCCGTGGTAGCAGGGAAACCCGAAGAGGGCGCCGTAGACGTAAGACCAGGCTGGTGCTCGCCGCTGGTAAAGGGCGACTTCATGGCATCGGTACCGGGGAACAAGTCCTCAAAGGCACCTCTACCAGCTCTCATGGGGCTAGCGGCATCGCGAGGCTGAGTACCAATAGCACCACGTCCGATAGCACCAAGGGGATTAGCCTGTCTGAGGTCCGGAACAGAATCACTCAAGTTCTCCTGCTCGTGGCCACCATGCATCTGAGCTTGCATGGCGGGAGGGAACAAAGAGCTGAGCTTGTTAGCACGGCCAAGTCCCGAACCGCCACCAACTCCAAAGCCACCAAGGCCACCAAAACCAGGAGACTGCAAATCACCGATAGGGCTGAAGATGCTGGTTCCAAAAGCGCTGTTGAAGGGCTGCCTCTCGCGATCGGGAGTACCGACCGAAGGAGCAGTAGGCCAGCCTCCGAGAGTGTTGACAGTCGGGAAGCCCTTGGCACCAACGCTCGAAGTCTGGCTGCGGTCGCTGCCATCAAAAGGAGCACCCCCAAAAGCACGAGACAAGGTGCTGAAGTTGGACTGCGGTTCGGAGGTAAGTCGATCGATCTCCGCATCGTCATGCCCCTCATCGCCACGCTCGGCTAGCGGGCTGCGGTACGGGTTCGTCTCGGAGGGGCTGGCGGGCCCGTTTCCCTGCTCGCTCTGGTTGTTGCCGAGATTGAGAGCCGACATGCCGAAATCGCCGCTGCTACCCTTGGCAGGAGTGTCGAAGACGCCGCTGCGCTGGAGGGACGACGCGGGCGGGCTGTTGTCCTGAGCCCCGCCGAGGATGGCGCTGCCGGTCAGACTGTCGTCAGGCCCAAAGGGGTCAGTATCAGTACGCTGGCGGGGTCTCCAACCACGGTTGGTATCAGTACCGGGAGCAGACTCGTTTCCCTTATTGGCAGCCACATTCTCATTCGAGTCTTTGGGGATCAAATGGGCCAGACGACTTCCACCCGTGCCGCCGAAACGCTTTTCCCCGATCGTGGACGTGGTGTTCAAGGCAAAGCTACCAAAGGCACCGATGCCCGCGCCGGGGGTGGTCGCGGCGGGACCCCACAGCGAGGCGGAGCTGCCAAAGGCACTAGACCCAGCAGTATTGGATCTAGTGAGACCGAAAGGCTGCGTTCTCGTCGGGGGGTTCTCTTCGGCGGGCTCGTCGGTGATGGACTCCCTCAGATCGGTGTTCCGGCGAGGGAGCCAGGGATCGTCTCGGGGGAAACGGCCGGCGGTGGTCGGGGAGGCAACGGCCGAGCTCGGGAAGGGATTCGTGTCGGCGGTCTCGCGGCGTCGGGTGGCGGGTCTCGAAGCAGAAGCAGGCGAAGCTGTGGGGAAGTTGCTAGTGTTGACACTGATGGAGGTCTTGCGTCCGCCGTTCTGTATACCCTGTACGCCCTCCTTATTCTGCTGCTGGGGCGGCTTCAAGGTCGAGTTCACATCGGTGGCAAACATGTCGCGCTCCTCCGCAGTCATGGGCTCGAGGCCGATGGGCTTGACGGTACCGTTCGGATCCCAACAGACGGTGGGATCTTGCGGGACATGCGGGGAATCGCCGGTCTTGCCCCACAGGCGTGAAGCTGTGCCGTTGGTCTGGTTGGGATTCCACGAGGGCGCAAAGAGGGACGACATGTCGATGTTGTTGGCTGCTTCGGCACTATGCTTGTAGATCTCGTAGAGTTCGTCCTTGGAGTAGCGGAGCGGACCCGGGTTATGCTGCTGCTGATTATTCTGCTGCTGCTGGTCGGGCGCGGGCGGAGCGGGTTGCGAGGCGGAGCTAGTGTTGTTGATGCTGTTGCTGTCTAGAGCGGGGTTCTGTGTGGCATCAGTCGAGTTGCTAGCGGCGGCAGACTGGTTGTTGAAGGGGGTGGTGGATGAGCGGCGAAAGGTTCTGGTGCCGTTAGAACGAGCCCTGGAGGTGTGGTGACGTGTCAGCGGCTGCTGTTCAATTCGTATGAGGCTTCTTTGGGGCTCTGGATCAGGATGGAGGATAATGGAGGGGTAGGGAGGAAAGAAGTAGACAAGGCAAGGGAAGATATTTAATCTGTCTCTGCTTCTGCCACGTGAAGGAAGAGATGGAGAAAGATACCCCTCCCCCTCTCTCTTCCCCTCCACGCAAGATGACAGATACTGATCCAGGCTGAAGTGTAGATAGTGTACTGCATAGCATGGACAACTGGATGCTCACCATTCGCCGCTGCCGGCACCACGGACGGAATCGCCTCGGGCACCGGATCTGGCGTCTCCTCTGGTGGTTTGGCCGGCGGCCGCAGAGGCAAAGCTCGATGGTAGCTGCGTAGGCATCTTGGATGATGATGATGATGGTGACGGTGACGGTGGACAACGTACTGCGCGTAGCGTGTGTGTGTGTGTGCGTGTGTGTGCAAAGCGAGGAGACGGAATGTGGTGGTGGAAGAGTGGAAAGGTCAATTGACTGGACTGACTGACTTGGACTTTGCAAAGTAAGAAGTCTGCACTGGCGCTTGGCTTGCTCAAGTAGAGAGGTCAGAGTTGGTGGGTGTGTAAAGGTGTAAAATGCGACAATTATTCGCGGTGGGTTCAGGGCGAAAATGGTGCACAAGACTGGGGATCCGTACGGTAAAGGTGTCACGGTATGGTATCGAAAGTTGAAAGTTTCGAGACTGGGAGTCGGGTTTCGGTTGCAGATTTCAGCACGCGGTGACTGGTGGTGACGACGGAGTCCGGAGCGAGGCAACGACTGGACTGGCAGATCCAAAACCGCAGGCAATTTGCAAACTTTCAAAGACGCCCCCCATTGGCCCAGCGCCCCAGTATTTCGCCCGCTACACGCCCCACTTTTCACCAAGAAACGTGACTTGGCCCGTGACATCTCTTGATTTCATCGATGCGTGCTGTTGTACCTCGCTAACAAATTGCGAACTTCTTTTCCCCTCCCCGCCAGAGTCAAAGCGTGCATACAATCCCCCAAACAACAACGAGGTTATCCCGTCATGAGCTGCATGAACCACCGTAAATCTCTGCATTATTCACACAAGACTTTGCAAAAAGTGCAGTCACCACTTTTTTACGACTTTGTGAACCCCAGAAACACGTCTGGGATTTTCCTCTTCGTTTCTGTGATCATTCTGTTATGGTTACCTCACGTATCAACACCAAGTTGAAAGCAGTTCGATGTTGTTCAGTGACTTCTCGGTAATCTCGAAAAGGACGCACTCTGATTGGCCCGCCCTTCTGTTTCGAACACCCTCCTTTTCTCGCCGCCGCTTCCCGGCCACTGCTCGCAAACTGCTGCGAATCGACTTGGATGGTCCGACGTCGAGAGTCGCGGAACTGACTCAGATCCAACCATGGTCCTCTTTCACCTTCCATGTCAGATTTCGTTGAAATAAAACTAACGACGCCCCCAATCGTTCAGAGTATACTACACATACAGTGAGCCGCGAACCACGACGAGTCAACAAGGAACCATGTACATATCGTTGTTATCACCGCAAGGCTGAACCAACAGATGGTCAAAACCGATAAACCATATAACCATCTTATAATATGGGGTAACACTGCATCCCTCCGCGGTGCTACACACTCACAAGAGGCCCATTGTCCACTGAACGGGGTCTCACAGCCTCAGGAACCGTTGGAAGCTGACAGACACCAACCTTGTTGGTTCTTATCGATATATATTTCAGGTATCCCGTCATCCCGTCGGCATCCTTCCCGATAACCGAGCCTTTCTGTGCCTCGCGCTAACATACCTTAACGACCAACAACCTTTGCGGGGGAGTTTTATCCGTCATGACAACCGTGTATCATCCGGCATTCTTTAAATAAGCATAAACACCCGACGGTGATCACTCACCCGGCACCTCCCGAACCTCATATCCAAGCATCTCATTTGACTCAACCGCATTCTCATCCACCAACTTCTTCGCCGTCTCCACCCCGGCCACCGGGACCCGATACTCAAACCTCTTCCCTCCCTCTCCCGGTTGCCGTCCATCCGGCAACGCATACGGAAACGGTAGGTATCCAGGCAACAGTCCCAGCTGTCTGAGAACGGTCCCCTGGTCCCAGGCAATGTGCTCGTGGTATAACCTATCGCCACGGATGTTGACGATGCTCGTGAACGGGATGCTCACCTTGCGGTGGGTTGGGGGGATGCCGGGGATTCTGCCTTCCGTTAGACCTGCTGTTGCATGAGAGGAGGGGAGACGCAGGGTAATAAATACTCACAACCAATCAACCACCCTATCGTGAGTGAAGTTGAACAGGAACTCATCAACAATCCGATCGATGCCCACTGTCCGGCTCACCAGCTCCAACTGCGCGTCTTCCGCATTACTGTGGATGAAATGGTCCCGGTAGAACTTGGTCAAGTTCTCCCGCCCAATGCCACCCGTTAGTGTCGGGATGTGGTTGACGTAGGGCTGGTCAACCATGGTGGCCATGGTCTTCTCGACGCTGCGGTCCTCGAACTCGTACTTTGTGTGCTCGTCCCAGATGGCTTCCAGGTCGAAGTAAGGCCCTCCAAGCAACGGCTTGAGGAAGGTGAGGGAGCGGGTGTGGGCGACGGAGGCAGCGTTTGGGTTGAACGCTACGCACGAAGGGAGGGCGAAGTAATCGAGTATTTCCAAGTTAGGGTAGTAGTGACCCTTGAAATTTTTGGGATCTTCCCCAAGCATTTTAATGTTGCTCTCGGAGCGTTGGTGGACGGGGCCGGGTACGTGGGCAAGAATGGGGACTGAGATATCTTTCGCCCAGATGGAGTGAAAGGGGCCGTAGTAGACGCAGGACATAATGCGAGGGTTGGCGGCGAGGGCGGAGGCGAGGGCGGAGGCGATGCGGTCGAAGCTGCCCGCCCCGTGCACTGAACAGTGGAATGTCTTCAGCTCATGTCATCGCGGTGTTCACCCGCCCCTTGGTGCCTTCACAGTTCACAACACCAAGGTACACATATCAAGCCGAGACTGAGAGCGAAAAGAGGGTACTCACCAACAAGACCAACCTTCTCCACCCCCTCGCACTCCTTGACCTTCTCAAGTTCCGCGATTGCTCTCCCAACCAAATCCCCAAAGTTCACTGACAGGTCCATGTCGTCATAAGTGACCTGCACAACCGCGTACCCCTCTTCAGCCCATTTCTTTAGCGGCTCGGGATCTAGCGTTTTCTGGCTCTGGTCGAGAATGAGCCGGTTTATAGACTCGACGTGCTTCGCGGGCGGCACAGCAAGGATCAATCCGGGTCCCGTTCCCCGACGAGTGAGCGGGGGCTGTATGGTGATCTCCGGTGAGATTATGATGGGCTGGGCGTTGGGGAGTGACATTTCCACCTTCTTTCAACAATGAACGGCGTGTATGGATCCGGGATGGAAGACGGAATGTGGATCTGAGCTCGGAACGGAGTGGGGAGTCGAGAATCGGGAGGATGACGGGATCGGGGTGAGATGCGGGGAAGTGGAACGGGAATTATCCGGTCGCGGAACTCGGTGCGGGGTCGGGGAGGCGGGCGGAACATGGTGGGCTTGGCGGACTGAAGCGGCTCGGTGTGGGAAGGTGAGAGATCCACATTTCACATTGCTCGCTCGGCCAGATCCGTGACTTTGTCCGCTCGAGGTCACAGAGTTGGATTGGCGGAGACGGTTACACCCGGGTTCGGCCCGTCTCGATTGATCAACGGTTCATTGTGTTACGGCGGCTCTCGACGAATGTGTGAGGGCAGGGTGATATCTTCGTGATAAGGTTGCTGTGCGTTCTCCATGGTTCGTCTCATTTTCGGTGTTTGGCAAGATGAACTGGTGAAGCTGGAGATCAAAGGATGTGGCAAGGTGGAAGACTGAAAAGAAAGAGAAGAAATGCCCAACGGACCTTTAATCAATGTAGAGGTTTTTTTGTGGTGGGCGACGACGGAACCAAAATGTTGCCCGCTCATCTGCCTGACCTGCCTTGCTCCTTCCCAACTGCTTTCATTTTGTTGATCATCCGTTGGGGTGTTCCGTGTGGACGTCTTCTTGTGCAAGAGCCGGCTTCATTGCAGGGCCGTTCATGGGTGTGGTTCAATTATATGGGTCATGGCTAGGTATCTTTCCCATTCCTCTATCTGGGGATCATGGCGGCGAACAGTGGATGGAAGCTTACTGATATTTATCATGATACGAAGTTTCAATGCTTTGACAAGTCAAGAAGCCTTCAATGTTGATGACCACCACCATCAAACATATGTCAAGCTTGTGAAAGACGCCAAGAAAGGGACTATCCTTAGTGTCCTAGCTGTTCCCGTCTCCGTGATCGACCGGAGCGAATACCGAACAAACTCGATTGTTGGCCAACTTTCGAAACGACGCTCGTTCTTTTTCGGGAAACAGTCCTTGGTCCGTACCCAAAGGTCAACTGGTGCCCAAGTCAACCCATGTTTCATCATTGCCCTGCCCGGCCTTCCACTTTCCTTTGCTCCTTTCCAGCGGACATTCCGTGTGGATTTGGATCGAACTGTTACACAATGAAAAGGATAGACAAAAGGCACGACAATATCATCATTACCATCTTGACATCAAGCACGCATCCACACGCACTCGTCCTGTCCATTTCGCTGTTTCCTGTCAACACTCCAGTGATTCCACGCCTACTTCCCGGACGGATGCTCTGGGCGCCCAGAACGCATTCGTCGACAATGGACGCTGGCTGCCTGGATAAAACGGCACAGCCAGCCCCATAACCAGATCCCACAGTCTCACATGCTCGAAGGATCAAGCTGAAGATGATGATCACGGACTCGCCGGCACGATGCTACCCACTCCCGGCTGCTTGGCTCTTAGCGCCGAGCGGCCGCAAGCCCGTTGACCCCACCCGTGCCGTTGGTCCCGCATTTCAGCCCATCTTAGGCGGGTCCAAACAAACATCCCGTCATCCCATCGACAAACACGCGGGGTCATAAAGGTTCTCACCGCATCAATCTTCCCATCATTCTTCGTTCACTTCCCTCACACGTTTCCCGCCATCAACGTTACAAGGGAGAACGGTAACATGGACCAACTAAAACACACCCTCGCCGGCCTCGGCGGATTCGCCAAAGAGAACCTACCTCCCCAAGTCACCGAGACCGTCACCGACCTCACCTCTTCCGTCCGCAACAGGCTTACCCTCGGCTCTCGTCGACGCACACAACCAATCGACGATGAAGAAGCAGGCCACATCATTCCCTTCGACTCCCACGCCGGCGGTGGCCATTCCACATGCAAGCAAGGCCCCCAGCTCCGCGTCTCCCCCGCTTTGCAGTCCTTCATCGCCAGGAACCATATTCTAGCTTCGGGCGAAACCGTCGCGGACCTACGTTCCAAGCCCCATATTTCCGTCCCCCGGGAGGTAGTGAGCAGGGACTACCCCCTACCGGAATACTTCGTCTCCTCCTCACACAACACCTACCTCTGCGCGCACCAACTCTTCGGCGAATCCTCCGCCGACCCCTACCGTCACACCCTTCAAGCCGGCTCAAGATGCGTCGAAATCGACGTCTGGGACAACCCCGACAACCTCGACGAACCCAAAGTCACGCACGGCTACACCTTAGTCTCCCACATCCCCTTCCGCGAAGTCTGCAAGATCATCCTGCAAGTGGTAGAAGAGGAAGAAGCCGGTAGCGCGCCGGTGTTGATTTCCCTCGAGAACCACTGCGGAGCGCGAGGGCAGGAGGCGTTGGTGCGGATCATGAAGGAGGTTTGGGGGAGTCACTTGTTGGACAAACCCGTGGAAACAGAGTCACACATCGAGCAAGACCAGCATGTCCCCCTCCGCGACTTGGGGTCCAAGATCGTTGTCATCGTGGAGCATCATCTCGTCAACGAAGCCAGTTCCTCCTCCGACAGCAGCAGCGACAACTCCTCCGAAGACGAAGCCGAAAAGAAGGAAAAGCGCTCCCGCAAACAAGCCAAAAACACCCCCGAAGCCAAACTCATCATCCCCTCCCTCGCCGAACTCGGCGTCTACGGCCAATCCGTCAAACCGCCCGACAACAGCTGGTTCACCTCTTCCACTTTACAGTTAAAAGACGGCCCGCACCACCACCTCATCAACGTGTCCGAATCCGGTCTCAACGCGCTCTTATCCTCCGGCAACGGGGCCAGCATAGCCAAACACAACGCCCGCCACCTCATGCGCGTTTTCCCCAAGGGCACACGCATCTCCTCCAAGAACCTTAAGCCGCTACCCTTCTGGGGCCTAGGAGCGCAGGTGTGTGCATTAAACTGGCAGACGTTCGACGCATCGATGCAAATCAACGAAGCCATGTTCGCTGACACGGGCGGGTACGTGCTCAAACCGTCTTGGCTGCGGTCGAACAACTCCAACTCGGCGATGGTGGGACTACCCGAAAAGGAGTTTAGGGAGCAGGTGGCTAGGACGAGACGCAGGAAGAGACTGCGGTTGGTGGTTGCTGGCGCGAGCGATGTGCCGGTGCCGAGTGGACGGGATAGTGATAAGGAGGTTAAACCGTATTTGACGTGCACGCTGTTGCACCCGGGCGTGCCGTTTGGGGAGATGCAGCAGACCAAGAAGAAGACGGATGTGTTTAGGAAGCATAAACTTAGTGCGCTGATTGGGGGGTTGACGGGGGCGGCACATCATGGGTCAAGGGAGGAGGAGAGTCTGGTGACGGATCCGTTGTGGGATGAGACGTTGGAGTGGGAGTATGAGGATGATGAGTTGGTTTTCTTGAGGATGTTCATCAAGAGCGATGATTCTTTCTCGAGCAACCCGGTGCTGTGCGTGGCGAGCGTCAGGTTGTTGTACGTGGAGGGCGTCAAGGGGCAGTGGAGGTTTGTGAGGATGTTGGATTTGAAGGGGAGGGAGACGGGATGTTCATTGCTGGTCAAGTTTGAAGTGGATGAGATCTGATTGATTCCGGTTCGGCTACTTCTACTGGGAAGCACCACGAGAAGCTAATATACATAAATGAACTCGTCATTCTGACGATCCGTCAAGTCCAAGAAAGCCCGGCTTCCAATGTCGCCTTCTTGGGCGGCACCCGCATTGAACTTCTTATCCATCGAAGCATCATGCAGCTTGGCCGGCTTGCCATTCGCCACGCGCTTCTTCTCGTGCATCTTGTTCAGCAACACCAAGTTACCCAGTTGCAGCAGCACAACCGCCGCCATCATGCTGTACACTCCCAAAGTAGCCTTCAGCCCGGGCGTGTAAGCAGGGGCATCGGCCGTGTCGAACAACAAGGGGCCAATGATGTTGCCTGCCGAAGAAGCAGCGTTGTACAGCGACATCATGACACTGCTCTTGGTCGATCCCGCAGTGTTGGCGAGAATCCAGGACATAACCAGCGTGTTGCAGCCAAAGATGAAGGCGAGGAAGTAGTAGCCCACTAGCAGGGGCGCCGTGTGCGACTTATCGCGGGGAAGGACGTATAGCACAGAGATGCCAGCCAGGATGGGGAGGAGAATAACCAAGAGGGCAACACCCTTGCCCGACCGCAACTTCACACTGGTCCAGGCGACGCCAAGGATAACGACGTACTGGACCGCGCCGAAGGGGATGTTGAGCAGCGTAGTCTTGTGGTTATCAAAACCCAGGCCGCTCAAGATCAGTGGACCAAAGGTGTTAACCACCTGTGCGCCGAGGTTATTCGCCAGCGACATGGCGATGAAGAGGTACGTCTTGATATCCAAAAACACCTCTCCGACCTGGGACCACTTGAACTTGTGCGCCTCGCCATCGCTGGTGCCGTTGTTGTTTGCCCTCAGTCGCTCGATAGCCTTTTGCTTTTCCTCCGCAGTCAAGAACCTGGCCGAATGGACGTTGTTATCCAGCTTCCAGTAGATGAAAGGCACCGTAACAATCGTCATCAGCCCCGTAAACAAAAAGATAATCTGCCAGGACGCCAACACGGGGCTGTGAATCTTGGCCAAACCAAAAGACAGCGCCGCCGCGAAGATGGTCGCCAGACCATTGGTGCCGTACCACGCCGCCACTCTGACCGGCTGCTCGCTCCTCCTGTACCAATGCGCCGTAATCACGGAGAACAGGGGCAAACAGCCAGCCTCGAACAGGCCCAAGAAGAACCTGATAGCCAGCAGGGCAGGGAAGCTCTTGCACAAAGGCGTCAGGGATTGGGCGATGCCCCAGCCGAGAACGAGAGTGGGCATCAGAATGCGGTGCGGGACCTTGATGATCAGGATCGAGGAAAAGGGCTGCCATGCTAGCTGGGCGATGGGGGCGATGGAGCCGATGAGACTGTATTGGTTGCCTTTGAGGTGGGTGTCTTCGCGTAGGCCGAAGATGGCGCCATAGCCGAGCACGGTCTTGTCGAGGATCTGGAGGAAGTAGACCCAGGCGAGGATGGGGAGGATTGTGAGATCGGTTTTGCGAAGGATGCGACGGTTCTGGATGGGGACATGGTATGTCAGTGTTTCCTCTTGATGTCTGGTGCTTGGGTACATCGGTGCTTACATCTTCTTGTGTCAAGGTGACGCGCTGGTTCTCGGTTTCGGTCACCTGGGGACCGTCTTCCATGTCTTTGAGGTCGGCCGAAACCTTGTGGGCGAGGACTGCGTCTGCCATGGTGTTGCAATTGACTGACTGGACTGGACTGGCAAAGGTCGAATCGAAATGGGTAAGGTGATGTGCTAGAAGACCGACACCAGCAGTAGTGTGATGATCAACTGGAGGTAGAAGGCCGGCTACCTTTCTGTCTTGGGATGAGGAGTGATCTTAGATGGGACCGGCTCCTCTTTATGTTTCCATCGAGACAAGGGGAAGTCCACCACGTTGTACGCTAATCCTGTGCCTTTTCCGTTCTGGTGCTTAGCCAACCGGCAGAGGAACGAACGGTCTGGGGAGACTGGGGAAACTGGGGACGAGATCAGCGCCGGTCGCCAACAGGCTGGTTGTACCATGGACATGGATCGCTGAAGATGGGGAAAAATGGGGATTCTCCACGAAAAAGACCCAATCAAGGCGAATGGCAAGCGAAGCCGGTCTCTCTTGGCCTGGGGTTAACGGTGGTCAGCTCTGGTTCTAGACAGGAGGTGTCGTCGGGCGAACATACCGAAGGGTTGTAGTCGTAACCATAGACGTCACGGGGAAAACATGACGGGCGAGTGATGTTAGAAGACTTGGCAACAAGATGGGGGTACACTCCAACTTTATGTCTCCAAGTTCTCCAAGTCCAATCAATGGGAGTTCCGTCCTTACAGCACTGTCACCTGTAGTGCCGTTGATTGCCGCTGCCGGCACGGCACAATGCACCGACTCGTGGCAGGCAAAGTAGCGGCATTCCCGTCACAGCAAATGGAAACAATTTCTTTCCTGGACAACATCAAATCAGCAATCGAGCCTTTGACATATAACGAGTCTGGGGATGATGGGGTACCCCGCAGTCTAAACAAGTTCCCAGCCCATTGCGAACTCGAAATCGACGCGACAATTGAAGGCCCGATAGAAAACACGAGGAGATTGCGGGGAAGTTGGTAACCGATTCGCGGGGAAAACTGGGGAGAATTGCTGGAGATGGAGGACAACAGGAAAATCACAACACCATGGCGACACAACACAGCGTGTGGTTGCTCAGTGGGGGTGCACATGGTCGCCCTCCCCACAACTCCCGGTGTTCCCCCACGTATCCCACGTATCCCACAGTTCCCCAGCCTCCCCACGCCAAGTTCATCCACTCTGCTGACTTTTGTAGCCGAGACCAGGGACTCCATGCCGAAGCCTTCGCCCAAGTTTTGGATTTCACGTGGGACAAATCGTCAACCTCGGACGAGAAAAAAAGGAGAAAAAACATTCCCCGCACTGTCAGCCGTTCGAACCAGTCGACGACGACGACGACGCCTCAACACCAACAACTGGCAGCCCCCTGAGCCCCTGTCCCAAAGTAAACAATCACCATCGTGGGGTTATCAGATCGAACACATCAAGTCCACACACGACAGGAATCCAGACCCAATCCCTACCAACAGCCCGGTTCTCCAGAAAACGCCTCCATGTCTTCCCCTACAGACCCATCTCTGGACAAAACTGTCCTAGCCGTCTCCTTCGCCTCCGCCGTCCTCTACCTCTTCCAAGTCCGGTCCACCCCCTCGTACTCGCGCATGCTCGTCAAGACCGCTTCCACCGCCTTGCTGTCCTACCTCTCCCACCTTCTCGACGGCCCCCAGTTCCTTACTGGCGCTCTAGCCCTCGGCTCCCTTGGCGATGCCTTCCTTGCTTGGGATGGCGACCTGGCCTTCCTTTGTGGTCTGTCGAGCTTCTTGGTTGCTCATGTCCTTTACATCTTGTTGTTTCTGCAGGAGCAGCCATCTGCTGGGTTCCAAACTCTATTGGAGGAAGGATGGCGCACCGCAACGGCTGGCGGATTGGTGGTCCTGGTCCCCGTCATGATCGCCACCTTGATGCCCAAGGTTGGCAAGGCGCTGAGAGTGCCGGTGTTGGTGTACTCGCTTACCATTTGTGTCATGGCCCTGACGGCGCTGACGCTGGAGAACGGGAGGGTGATTGTGGGGGCCACCATGTTCACGGCGTCGGATTCGATCCTTGCGGCGGACAAGTTCTTGGTGCCTGGGACAGCGGGGTATAGGGGCTTGATGCAGAGAGCCGTTTGGGTGCTTTACTATGGGGGGCAGGCCTTGATCGCACTGGGCTTTGTTGAGCCGGCGTGGTAGGGTGCGTCCAGTGGCCAGCAACAAAAGGCATGGAGGACGGGGCGGTCACGCTCAAGGAGGATGCCAGGACCTCCGCTTCGGTACAACAAAACGAAACAACATCGGACTCAACAGGACGCAGTTTTCTACCCGAACAATCATTGTCCTGGAGATTAACATCTATAAGGCTAACTCTTCGCACCCCTATGAATTATTCGTTGTCCCTATCATAGGCATCCTGCTGGTTCTTCACCGGCTTGTACACAAAGTAGTCGAACTTGGCCTCCGCCGCCAGCCCGTTCAGGTCTGAGGCAGCCACACCGACAAAGGCACCCGTAAAGCTGCCATGCTGCTGATGTCCGCCACACTCATCCGAAACAATGCTGGCATCAAACACCGGTCCGATCTTCTTCAGCTCCTCATCACCACTGCCCAACACCGCATAATAGAACTGCAGCTGGTTACCCCTGATCGTCAAAGCAAGCTTCACCTTGCCCTCGTTCGGGATTTGGACGTACGGAACGTACGGGGTGTTGAGGTTTCCAATCGGCCATGACGCTTCAGATGACATGATCAGCAACTCTCGCTGGCCATCAAAGTGAGCGGTGACCGTCAGGTAGAAGAAGTTGTACCGGCAGTAGTACGCAGTCAAACCAGCGAACTGCCTCTCGTCGGTCGGAGAAAAGTCCATGACAGTCTCGGCATCGTAGCTGAAGTGCTCCTGTCTCCTGGCCACCAACGCCTGCTCGAACCAACTGCCAATGGCTTCCCGACCGATCAACATCAACTTGCCATCCTTGACGTTGAAGATGCGCTCCGTCTCCGGCGTTCTCAACCACTGGAAGTCCTTATGCAACCCATCCTCAAAGGTATACCTCTTTTCCTCCCAGTACTTGCTCTCATCCCTCTCCCCCAGCAAGTCCACCCAGAGACTCGGCACCGGTCCATTCTTGACATACAGCCAATCGTCCTTCCAATAACACTCCTGAATTGCCGTCTCACGTCCCAACACACACCTCCTCAGCTGCGTCGTCGGCCGTCCCGTCAAATGAACCAAGTACGTCCTCCCATCCTCCGTCTCCACAATATCGCCATGTCCCGCCCTCTGCAGCGCGGCTCTCGGATGGTCCTTACTCGTCAACACGTACTTCTCCGGATGCGTCTCATACGGTCCCCAGATATCCTTGCTCCTCGCCAGCGTACAAGCATGCTCATACCCCGTCCCGCCCTCCGCAATCAGCAGGTAATACCACCCATTCCGCTTATACACGTGAGGCGCCTCCGCCAGTGCGAGCTCCGTGCCCTGGTAGACGTTCTTCCTCTCCCCGACTAGTTTCTTCGTCTCAGCATCCCACTCCTGCACCGCAATACCCGCAAACAGCAGCGGCCTCCGCCTGTGATCCCAGAGCATGTTCACAAAGTACTTCTTGCCGCTATCCGGGTCATGGAAAAGACTGGGGTCGAAACCAGAGCTATTCACGTACACCGGATCGGACCACTCCCCATCAATCTTATCCGCCCAAACGATATAGTTGTGTGCGTCCTTGAAGCTGCCATCCTTCCTCTTAACGTCCGTGTACACAAGCCAAAACTTGTCGCCGTCGTGTGAGAGGCAGGGGGCCCAGACACCGCACGAGTCCGGGTCGCCACGCATGTCAAGTTGGGACTTGCGGCTGAGCGGGCGCGTGAGGAGCGTCCAGTTGGCAAGATCCGTCGAGTGGTGGATTTGTACGCCCGGGTACCATTCAAAGGTTGAGGTGGCAATGTAGTAATCCTGCCCGACGCGGAGGATGGAGGGGTCGGGGTTGAAGCCGGGGAGGATGGGGTTTTTGACGAGGGCCATGGTGGGCGATTTTGCTGCTGACAGTTGACGCTGCAACTTTTAAGAGCTCTCGGAAGCTTGAAGAAGGGGGGACGAGCGTCTTCTTATACGGTCATATTTGTCATGCTCATCGGTTGTTGTCACCTCTCCAAGACCTCAAGGTGGGTGGCGTGGAAGGATGGAAGATGTCCGGGTAAAACGCGGCCCCGCGGGGCAATTTAGCCGGAGCTGTCACACGCACGCACTGCACGATCGACGACGCTGCCAAGATGCGGCATTGCGGGATGCGGGGATTCCCGCGCACTCGTCCAGGATCGGAATTCGGAAAGCGGATATCATTCTTCGATCGTTCGGATGTACACCCCGAACTCGACGTCTGCTTCTATCAACTCTATGCGCTCAACTCTGGTGGCCTTCCATCCCCTGGAAGCTCTTGTGCTTGCGGTGCTGCATCCCCATGCAACTCGTTTGGTTTCACATCCGAGTGAAGTTCCCACCGATAAGCATTACCTGGGAGCTCAGTCGGCGGGACGTAGACTTCTACTGCTGGGGAATGAGTGGGGAGCTCTTTCTTCTGCTCATGGGGTTCATATGAGCTTGGTGGTGGTGGCTGTTGTCCTTGGACGGGGGCTTCGACGGATGGTGATGCTGCCGCTGAGTTCTTGTTCTTGTTCCTCTTTTTCCAAAATGACCAACCGCCGAAGACGCCTAGCACGACCATGCAACCCCCTACGATACCCCCCGCGCGAGCTCCGGTGTTAGACTTGGACTCGCCCTTGCCTTCATCGGTATTGCTGTCTGAGGAGCCACTGCCGCCGCCAGATGATGGTTTGTCTGATGAACTCGACTCATTCGCAAAGTTCACAGGCGTCGCCTGAAACATCTTCTTCACATCGTCCGAGTCCCACTGGACCTTGTCCAAACCACTAATATGGTCAACATGGCACTCACACACCAGACGAAAGATCACTTACCCATCTTTGTACCACTTCTCAATCACTTCGGCCGGTCTGTACTCCGCTGCCTCCGCATCATAGCTTCCATTGCTCTTCCAAGCCATGGCAGTCATGTCAAAGATGCCCAGTCCCAGCGGTAACGGATCCTTAGTCTGCCAGATTCCCGGCCATCCATCCTTCTCGTTGTGGCCACCTATCACCAACAGTTAACGTTTGCCTACCACAGCGCAAGTCCCGTGAGAATGAACGCCGTTTGAACGATCGTCGGCGCGGAACCAGACGAATCCGGGAAGCGAAAGGACGTATAGGTCATCGTAGGACTCGGTAAACCCGGCGTCAACGCCGCCGTACACGAAGCTGTTAGATGTCAGCACTGAATCCAGATAAGGATTGCAAAAGGGGGAAACGAACATCTCGTAGGTACCGGCTTGGCTTTGAACACCAGCGACACAATGACCCATTCTCCCTGTCGGCGGTGTCCCTGACGCTGTCTGCGAGTACCACTTCTTCATCTGCGTCAAAGAAGGTCACGTTGTTGAAGTCGAGGAGGAGATCCGGGCGGATGATCCCTCGCGAGTCGCCCTTTCGCGTCACGGGCAGGGCGAAGACTCCCCCTCCCAATACCATGACCACTCCGTTTTTACCGTCTTCCCCAAGTCCATCAACGAAGTGCGCCCTTCCCCCCTCCAACGCCTCATCCTTCTTGAGGAATCCGACCTCGCTATGATTCGTCCACTTTTGCGTCTCAAACTCATACTCCACCATTCCCGGAATCCTCACTCCCCCTGACGTTATATTCGCATCCGGATCGGTGCCACCCGTCATTATCCCCCCAACCGACCACCCCCTCCCACCTCCCGCCGCATACGCCATACTCGCCACCACATTCAACCCCTTAAAAACCTCCGAATTACTAGCCTGTTCAAGCGTCCACGCTCCCCCACCCTGCCCGTTGGAAGTAAACTTCCAAATTCCGCGATCCTTCCTCACATCCTTCACCGTTTCGTTCCACGACACTTGGCCGCCGTAGATGTAGAACCCTTCATCTTTCCCGTCCGAAGACTTCCAGGGCCAGAGAGCGTGGTTGTTCACAACGGGAGGTCGGTTGCCATCCTGAAAGGAATGGGATTGGAAGGGGGCGGTGCGGTCGGACCAGGAGGTGGAGAGGTCAATTGATAAGGTTGAGGAGATGCCGGTGGAGGGGTGGTCGTCTGGCGGGAGGGTGCGTTCGCCGGTTCCGTATTGAGAGATCTCACCGCCGGAGAGGTAGAGGTGAGAGCCGATGACGGTTGCTGTTGTAAAAGAGGTACGTTAGATGTGAGATGGGAAGAAAGGAATGGCGACGGGAGGTGGAGGAAGCGGGATAAGACTTACCGCGCTCATAACCGCGCCGAATGAAGTTCGAATCAGAAGGCGTATCGGTGTTTTGCCCATTGACGGGAAGGGGCCATTGCAGCGAAGCAAGACATAGAAGTGTCAAGGTCTGCGGCAGCGGGAGGAGCGTTGACGGAAACATTGTGGTGACGTTGGACGCAGCTTATAGGTTCACAAGCAACATTGAATGTGAATTGACCGTGGAACGGTTCACGACAAAGGTCACCAAGGATGAACGCAGGAGAAAGTTCAGGGAAAAAAGAGTTGAGAGCCAGTGGAAGACTGGAAGTGAGGAAGGTTGAAACATCCTTGTCGGCTTTTGTTCATGTCATCCGCCGGCGAACTAAAAAAAGGGCACATGGTTCGATATGACCAGGGTATCAAGCCTTATCATCAACAACAATCAGGGGGTCGTTTTCGACCCCTGGATTATATCCAAGCTCCTCGACAAAAAGGCTTCCTTTTCTGGTTTGTATTGGCACCAAAGCGGCCGAGGGGCCCCCAAAGTTGGCGATGTCAACGGAGGTTTTGACGGAGCTGAGTCCAGCCAACTGACCAATCAGCTCGCAGTAAGCTGTAGATCTCTAGGCAAGTCGGTTGGGGGAGTAAGCCCTAAAGCAGCAGGTTCGCCAGGCAGACAATTGGCAGGGACGACAGCTTTGAGGATTTGCGGACTCTTGGCGGGCTTGGGTAAGCACTAAGTGCGATATTGGCGGTTGAATGCGAGGAGACCAGTGAGAATGCGGAGGTTGGGTGGTGAGAAACGATAGGGTGAGAGGTTGAGAGATGGGAATGGGATGGTGGTGTTACACAAAGGAAAGGGGGTCTCTGTGGCGATATCGACGGAGGAACACCATGATATGGACGGTAAGGTTGCGATGAAAGGTTCGGCGAGGAAGACATCGAGGAGATAACATCATAACGCTGAGGTTGAAGTTTCGCTAACAAAGCACCTCTAGATGAACGAGACTCAACGAAGAATGGCCGACTCTTTCCTTTAGAACGGAATTGAATGTTGACAGCTAAGAAAGATGAAATGCTAAGACTTTGGCAGGTTGTCGATTTGGCCCAGAAGAAGCAAGGTTCCAGATATCGACCCAGAGTTGGGAATTAGTACCGTACTAATTAGTACGACTCTAGTATTAGTATTTAGTATTAGTATTAGTACGGCCTCCGTACTAGACTAGACTAGTACTAGTACTAGACTTAGTATACTAAAAATACTAATTTTTGAAAATTGATATTTTGTAACTTTTCCAATACTGTATAATTTATATAATAATATTTGTGTATAAAAACGCTATTGTTACTAAGAATTGATTTTTTTAATTTAATATATATTTTTAAATCTGGAAGGGTATTAAATATATAATAAATAATTATAGAAAAATAATTTTAGAATTCCAATAGTAGATTTGAAAAGTACGATTTTAACTACTATAATATATAATTAGAAGTTATAATGAATTATAACTTATAAATACTAATTAGTACTAGAGTTGTACTAATTTGTACTAATTCGTACTAGGTCTAGTACGATTTAGTATTTTTAGTACAAATTAGTACGTTTAGTACTAAAAATACTAGAAATACTAGAGTTGTACTAGAAATACTAGGAATACTAAAAATACTAGAGTGGTACTAAAAGTACTAAAGATAAAAAAGAGTATAATAAATAATTTAAATTAGGAATAAATTTAATAAATAAGTATCAATATCGTATAATTAAAGATTATTTTAGTATAGAGTTTATAAGAAGATAAAAAATAGTAAAGATAATAATAATAATAATAATATAATAATAATAATAATAATAATAATAATAATAATAATAATAATAATAATAATAATAATAATAATAATAATAATAATAATAATAATAATAATAATAATAATAATAATAATAATAATAATAATAATAATAATAATAATAATAATAATAATAATGATATATTTATAATATTTTACTAATTAATTATTTTATAGAATATTAATCCATTAGATTATTGGAAGACTGTGGCCTTTAAATGGCCTACTCTAGCTATAATGGCTAGAGAATATTTGGGAATTCTAGCTACTAGTGCTAGTATTCAACGTGAATTTAGTTTTAGTCAATTAATTATAACTAAAAGCCGTACGAAAATTGATCCAGAATTAATGAAGCAAATAATGCTTTTAAAAAGCTGGAGAATTACTGGTATTGAGGAAATAAATGAATATTTATTTAATAATATTAGCGATTTTTTCGAAGATAATAAAGAAAAGAAAGAAAGGAAAGGAAAAGAGGACGATTCTAGTAATAGTAGTAATAATGATAGTAGTGATAATGATGATAATAACGATGATAATAATAATAATAAGGATAATAATATTACACTTATTACTATGAGGGAAAAAAGGGAGCGGGAAAAAGGAAGAAAAAATAAAAAAACCCCGAGTGAAATTTCCAGTAGTAGTGAAGAGGAAGAAGAAGAAGAGGAAGAAGAAGACGAAGAAGAAGAAGAAGATATTAATTTGGATAATTTAAACGAGGAAGATTAGAAGAATATAGAAGGGAAGGAAGGATTTAATTATTATTTATTTTTATTTTCTAATTTAAAAGTATTTTATTTTATTTATTATAAACATTCAAGAAATATTTTATTTTATTTATTATAAATATTAAAGAATAGTATTATAAAATATATATATCTATTACCTTTAGTAGTATTTAATTATTTTAGTATTTTAATATATTTTTAGTATTCTAAGACTATTTTAGTATTTTAGTATTTTAGTATTCTTAGTACTTTTAGTACAATCTTAGTATTCTTAGTAATTTTAGTATTCTTAGTATTCTTAGTACTTTTAGTACCATTTTAGTATTTTAGTACAATTTTAGTACTTTTAGTACGATTTTAGTATTTTTAGTACGATTTTAGTATTTTAATATTTTAGTATTCTTAGTATTTTTAGTACGATTTTAGTACTTTTAGTACAATTTTAGTATTTTAGTACAATTTTAGTATTTTTAGTACGACTTTATTTTAAATACTAGTTTAATATTATTAATAGGAAGTTAATTTATATATAAAATATAAAAATATAGGATTATAAATATAGAAATACTATTCTACTTAATAAATTATTATATAAAATAAAATAAATAAATATATGAATATTAATTTTATGAATATATCTTTTACTCTTTGAATCTTTTATATTTTATAATTATATTCCCTTTCTTTTATCATTAATAATGTAAATAATATTATATAAAAGATATATATAATAAAAATATGTATATTTTTTAGTAAATATTTTATATAATATAGATTTTTAATAATATTTAATAAAAATAAAACGAAAAATAATAATAGAAATAAATAAAATCACGGTTTTTAAAACTAGGAGTATTAGAATCGAATTTCTTTCTTATTTTTACTATTTACACAAGCACATTATTTAAACCCAATTGAATAAACTAACTACTAGACTATATTGATTGAGTAAAGAAAGAAAGAAGGAAATAAGAAAAAAAGAAAAGAAAGAAGGAAAAAAGGAAAAAAGGAAGGAAAGAAAAGAAAAAAGAAATTATTTACGGCTTTTACGATTCTTTACAACCCTATTCTTAGTCTTAGCACCAAAAGGCCTACCCCTTTTCTTAGGAAGAGTAGAAGGAAGGGAAGAAGGAATAGAAGAACGAGAAGGACGGTTAGAAGGAGGGAGGGGGTATTAGAAAGAAGGTCGGAAGAAGGCGAACGAAAAAGAGAAAGACGGTTAGAAAGAGGGGGGGGGGGGGGGGATAGTTTTCTTCGATGAAGAAGCCTAAAAGAAAATTAGTAAAAGAAAAAAAAAAGGATAAAAAAGGAAAAAGGGTAAAAAAGTTTATTTGGGTAATAGGGTTAGAAATTCTACGAGTAGAGAAAGGCTAAAAGAAATTAATATATAAATAAAAAGGAAAGAAAGAAGGATTCTTACTAACCTTTGAAGAATTTCCTTCCTTTGAAGGAAGGATAGAAATAAAATTATTTTCAATTATTTTAATAGAAAACCTAGGAATTTGTAAGACAATAGTTGGGTGGTTCGGTTCAATGGCTTTGGAAGGTTCAGAAGCCTCGGAAGGTTTAGAGGGTTGGAGAGGCTGGGAAAATTCAATTGAAGGTTGAATAACCGTTGAAGACTAAAAAAGAAAATAAATTAATAAAAAAAAGGAAATAAAAAGGTAGGAGGAAGAGGGAGGGGGGGGGGGGGGGGGGGGGGGGGTAAATACCGGTTGTACGAATTGGTTATTAGAACAACCGTTAGAAAGAGAAGGTTCGAAAACGGTTTCGAAGGTTGGAAGAGGCTAAAAGAATTAGTAAAAAAAAAAGGAAAAAAGAAGAATAAAAAAGACAAAAAAGATTTATTTACTTCGAAGACGAATTGGGGGTTAAGGAAATTCGGATTAGGTTGTTCGAAATCTTCCATTGTAGGAAGGGAAAGGAAGGCATCGTCCTAAATTTAAATTATTAAAAAAAAGAAAAATAAGGAAAAAAATAAAAAAAGGGGGTAAACGAACCGAAATAATAGAGGTAGACAAAAGTTGGCCACCTCCTTGAAGGAGGGCTTCCAACGGATCTATTGTGGAAGGTAGGAAGAAGGTTGAGGGTAAAAAATAGAATAGAAGAAGGTAAGGTAGTGAAGAAGGGTGTTGATGATTTGGAAGAAAAAAAGGAAAAGGAATTCGAAGGGGGAAAGCTGTATATATAGACTAGATTTTTCATTAAAAGAATACCTCGTTATATTAATTTCTTAAAGAATTATCCGTTTTTTCTATTTTAAACGTTTTATTCGTTGAAAAGGTATGAAAATCTTAGTTAGAAAAGGAAGGTAGGATTAAGATAACGGATGGTAAATAAGGTTACATTAAATGGTCAAGTGATGAAATTTTAAGCGCTGAGTTTCAAAAACGTACGATTTCGCCACCCTTTTAAATTAGATGACGAAAAAGGTCTTCAAACCTTGGAAGGTTGGATTTGGAAGCCTTGGAAGCCTTGGAAGCCTTTAAAAGGTTTAAAAGTTTATAACCCTTATTATTATTATTATTATTATTATTATTATTATTATTATTATTATTATTATTATTATTATTATTATTATTATTATTATTATTATTATTAT